CGATGGCAATCCCTTTCAACTGTATGTTAGACGCGTTGCCTTCAGAGTGGATCTTATAGGCGATCGCCGGCACGTATTTACCCGCATATGACTCTCCGGTTATATAGAAATCATTTAGTCTTTCATTTGGGAATAAAGTGAGAAACTGTTGGATAGCTTCGTATAGATCGCGAGCCACGTCTGTCTCATCCTTAGCATAACCTATCGATTAGTTTTTAATTCAAAGTTTATTGAAGTTATAATTAACTTATATATAGATATTTGGTTTATGAGTGTTGAATGCATACCGACGTCGTTGTCAGTGAAGCTAAATCCAGTTCCGACCGGATTATCAATGTATACGACAGAGAACTCCTGATTCCAAGAGTATTCACGAAGAGTTGCCTTTAGATCCTTGTTAAGCACAAATGGACCATGCTCATTGAACAAACCAAACAGTGATGTACCTCCCGGTCCTCCCTGAAGCCATAGCAATAGCGGCGCCTTTTTGTCTTTATTCTAATTAAATATAAATATATTAAATGTTTTTATAACAACTTTAAGATAAATTTGTATGACATACGAGTGCCGGAAAATACCAGAAGAATATATTGCTGTTATACTTCTTATTGACGGTCAAGAATCCAGAATATTGTGTTATATTGGGAGCGCTCGACAGACCGACAATTTGGCAAAATTTGTATGACATACGAGTGCCGGAAAATACCAGAAGAATATATTGCTGTTATACTTCTTATTGACGGTCAAGAATCCAGAATATTGTGTTATATTGGGAGCGCTCGACAGACCGACAATTTGGCTCAACTTCTGGCCCTCATCTATGCGTCCGCTCTCTATATATGGGGTAAGAAATAGCGGTTCCCCGACATCACCGACATTACGGACATTAGCCGCAGAATGCGATGGAAATAAGTTTCGGCGAAAAATGGCCACTGAATTGTGAATTATAGCCAAAATACCGATCAATACAATAATTTTCATTTTGATTTATCAATTAAACAACTATTTGTTGACTGATCTCTGGAAATATCAGTCAATGTATGATTTGAGGAGACTTTGTATGCTATCATTAAAAGCGATAGTTTATCTCAAAACAAGTCATTGGATTAATGCACACACACTTGTGTCACACACTTTGTATTTTTTTTATTGTGAAATAATTTGTTGTTTGGGCACAAATGAACTTATTTTATATTGTTCAATTTACTCTTTTATCACTAATCAATACACTTGACTTAAGTGGAAATGGTTTTAAATAGTGATATAACTAAAGTTAATGACATTATTTTACAAAATAATACATTGAAACAAATGATTTGAGTTTTATAACGATAGTATAATTTAGCAACTGATTAAATAAATCAATATGACTTATTAAGACACTCAGAATGAGCATGAACAAATCGACATTTGGTTGGACTATAGGTTATATTTTATAACATTGATTATTTTTATCGATAACACAAAGTAGTTTTTAACTTTTATAATTAATTTATATTTAAAATATACAAAATTTAAATATAATTTATAAGAAATTAAACACAGAAATTGCATTGAATTTATTTTTATTTATTTAACAATTAATCAATGGTTTAATAGTATTTTAAAGTCTAATAAAACATAATGTAATTATAAGTAAAAATGGCATAATTTTGAAAAATAATGTGTAAATAGCATTATATATGAAAATCAAATTAAAACACAAGTAAACTAAACAAACAAATTGGTTATGTATTAAAGGGATGTGACCTCAGTATTGACAAAGATATAGTTGCCGTCCCTTATCTTACAGCTCAATAGAGTGCGGCTTTCGTCCAACTTTTGGTTCCGATAACTGACCGTAAATTGTTTGGACTCCAAGAGCTCTTCGCCCAAAGCCATGGACAACACCTCACGGATGGTGTGTTTGGGCGACACCTCAACCTTAGCCACACTGTCGCGACCTATTCTCAACGATATGCGCATCTTCTTCCTCACCATCGATAGGAACAGATGAGGCAATGGTTTGCAAATACGATAATCCGAAAGAGTCAGCTTTGGATCCAATTCCTGGTGCGCGAAGTAGACCAGCCATTGGTCGCCATCGATGTCTCCGTCCAACTCGTGGACCCGTTGTTTGATGCGTTCAATGGGTTCGTGTGGGTCGGCGTCGACCACCAGTGACTTGTCGTCGATTTTGATCATCAGTTTTCCCGCACAACCAATTGAGTCCATACTCTGATCACTGCCCGAATCCATCTGTTTCTTGAGATCGTCCAGTTGTCGACGAATCCATTGGTTCCCGATCTCCAGTTCTTTTACCCGTTGTTCCAACGAATTTAAGGCCTTTAAGCGTTGGTCCTCTTCGGCCATAGCGTTGGCTCCGGTGATGCCGTGTCTGAAGGGACAGCTTTGGACGTGTGGAACCAATTTGTCCACTTTGAGGGTCACTTTGCATCCATTGTCGGCGAAATCGCAGCGAATGTCATATTTGGTGATAAAGTTTTGAAACAGTTTTGGCGCACATTTGACATGCGATTCGTGTATGAATTGCCGATCGATCGGACAAATCAAATAAGTGGTCATCCATTCGGCCAAACATTTGCGGCAAAAGATATGATCGCATTGTATGAGTAATACGGGATCCTCAAGAAGTTGATGACATACACCACACTTGAGCTCTTCGTCCACTTCACAAGTGATCCGCTTTAAGTCATAACCCATTGCTTTCTATTGTAATCTAACTATTGGTTTATGGTTTAAATATTTGATTGTCTCAACTGTTTGTCCGTTTATTTCTAAGTACTGTTTGCGCGAGAGTTTGAATTTTGCAATTTTATGGTTAAAATATTATTAATTCATTTAAAATGATTACAGTTAACAGGAAATGACACAAAATGTGAGTGAATGCAGTGAATGCAGTGAATGGTTTGATTGGGACAACTCTTACGGCAATTTCATTCGCATTTCAATCCAAGTGGTGAAGAAGGAGACGATTATCAATAGGAATCCGATGGCAATCAATAGGATTCGGTTGAGTCGAGGAGTGACCGCACTGTGAGTGTTGTCCAGTATTACAAACCCGAGTCCACCCAAAGTGAACCATAGATGAGAAGCCAAGCCCTCCATAATGTACTGATTCCACAACTGATCCCATCATACAGTATATCAATGTGTGGTTAATGTGAGACAATTAGTGGACTAATTGAGTGCCAAATGATTGTGTGTATGCATAAAGTGATGGCAAAGTATGCCTGTATTGCACGCATGCGTTGCCATCCAAAGGGCGCACGTGTTGTCGGTTTTGAATTTGTGAACAAAAAGTTTACTTTTAATCAAATTTTAGTGTTTTTACTAACAATTGAATCACTGATTAACTGATAAAACCAAAAATGATTGGATTTCAACAAATTGAAGATTTAATCGCAAGTTTGAATCTGTATTCACTACTTGAGCCGTCAGTAGTCTTTCATTAGTCTTTCATTTATGTCATATATTAATAGAAGTGAAATATAATTGCATTTATTTAATAATTGTTATATACTTAGAGAATTGGCGACAATGGATGCCAACCTTATTCTTCCCGATCCTCTATTCGATGGTTTCGTCATAACTCGAGGACTCATTCTTGACATTCAGAGCGCTATCAATGGTGTTATCGCGAGTCACAGAAATATGGGGTAAGTCTTCAGTCATTATTACGTCAATGATTGAGTTAATGGTCAGAAATGTTGTGACGCTTTTGGTAATCAAATGAGTTTGTGATTGAGTGATGATAAGGGATGGTCTCATTGCGAGTATTCCTAACCTGATTCAGAGTCGCTGCTATCAGAAGAACTACTGGAACTCGAACTACTGCTACTGTCGCTGTCACTCGAGCTCGAACTCGACGCCGACAGCCGTGACGTCGGCCCGACATCCGCCGCGTGTGAGTTCTCTGAATCTGTGAAAGCATAGGGATCTGTATTTCAATAAATGGACACAATNAATCATATGTCAATCACATCTCTTCGATGCCATCTCTGATGCAATACTTGTAATCGTTTGGTTTTGGCCATCAATTGATGCCATTCTTTACTCTTAGATCTCTTGACTAACAAAGCGGTGCTTAAAGTGATGCCAAAGAGACTCAACGCAAACAAACGCTTCAATCGTTGGATTCGCTTCACGTGTCCACACATTTCGGAGTTCACACCACTTAAGAGACGACCGCTTCTCACACAACACATCCCTAAACCACATGTCATTTCATGGCTCAATATTTTATACATTATTAACCATTGAATTGACTTTTATTACCCGTAAATTCAAATCAATTTAAATTAGAAAAAGTTTAAATATTTTATAAAAATACATGTATTTTACAAAAATAACTTTTTTATTCTATTATTTATTCAATTACTGTATTACAATATTTTAATTTCTTGAAAAGTATTTTCCGCTTCCATAAGGAATTTATTGAATTGAATTTTTATAATTAATTATTAATCAATAAAACAACTGATATTTTTTAAGAGCAAATAAAAATATTAAGTGTTTTTTGTCTGACATTAAGTTTTACACTAAAAAGCATGGTTTTTTACAAACCCTAAAATTTGGGAATTGTCTTTCGATATATATATCAATAGATTTGATGATTATATAAGAGTGAAGGGGACTGAAGGGGGTATCAGTCGGTCCGCCCTTTGGTTTCATTAAGTTTAAAAAACTTTTGCTTCAAATTATAAGCCACTGATTGAGTGGTACTTTATGTGTGAATCGATTGAAATAGAAATGATTGTAAAATTAAAAACAACATAACGTTTAGAAACCAAACAATGAGTTAAATATTAATAAGTATTTTCTTTTTTGTCTCATTTAATCAATGGATTCGTAAATAACTTAAGTTTTGCACAAATAAAATATTTGAAAATTTTTGTTTAAATCAAATTCACTGATCGATCGATTTGTTTAATAAAAATGATTGGTTTTGATTGCAAAATGATAACTAAATTTAAGTAAAAAAAATGTAAGAAATAAATTTTGGGCATTAATTCACACTTTCTTTTATCGTCACAATTATCTGTATTTTCCAATTGATGCTAAATTTTATCAAAAATCAAATTAAATATTTTATATAAAGACTACAAATTGTTATAATAAGTGGCGTTGAGTGCAACCGATCACTGAATTTTGAGGCAAAAGTTAAGGATATCATCGAAACGGTAGGGAAGGGGACAGGAGTTGAGAAGAGATGCGAACATTTGTTTTATTAANAACGGTAGGGAAGGGGACAGGAGTTGAGAAGAGATGCGAACATTTGTTTTATTAATAATAATTATTGATTTTGATGGGAATGCAGAGAACGGATCCGAAATATATTTATCAATTATCTCCGCCCTCTCGGACCTGAAGTAAAGGACAAACACATGGTGTGAATGTGTGTATGGATTGTAAGAAACACTTACCAATTGAATCCTTACGTCTTCGGCTTCTGTATTGAGCCTACCTTTCAGTTCAAAGTGTCGTCTATTATATAATTCATTAAGTATTAAATAATAAATCAAAAACAAATGCTTAAGTTTTATATCCAATTCACCAAAAGTCTGAATACTTTAACTTTAAAAGTATATCGTAAGTTTTGGCAAAAATACTTTAGGTGAACTAGACTTGCACTTTATTCTTAGATTTTAGGGTAAATACCTTCTCATTTCACTCAATACATTTCCAAAAATCTTCTGATTTTCGGCTAAAGTAATGATAATCAAAAATTGATCAACTTTTTCGATGATTGACACCAATTTTTGAAGTTTTTCAGTCGTGCTTCTGATACCCCAAACTTTGCGATACATGCGATCGATCTTAAGAATCGAATCTAAGATATCGTCCATCCGTTCCATAACTCTATTAATTAAATTAATTTATTATAAAAACGCTTTATTAATCGCAGTCTCTCTTAATGTAATGAGTGGTCTATTCCATGATTTGGCGACAAAAATTATTTTAAACATTATTTTGAGTATTTCATCGTTTTTTGTGGTGAATATTAGGACGTGTTTGAAATGAAGTTCGCGAAGATGCCGGACGAGCCGCCGCACGGAGACTCGCTTACGGGACATACGGACAGCTCAGGCAGCAGTTCCAGCGGTAGTTCCACTCCCACCTCATCCAGCAGTGAGAGTGAAAGTGAAGACATTCTGTTGCG